TGGTCAGTGTTGTCATTGTGGGTGTCTGACCCTATCTGATGATGCTGAACCAGACCAATTAGTGATCGCTTGCATTGTCAGAGTGGCTGCTGAGTGTAGAAATAGAAGACTGGTGTTTGAGGCGGCATCTCTACCCTTCCTAGTTGCTTAGAATGAGGCTACTAGAAGGTTACAACTTGACAATGGTAAGGCCGCTGTGTGCTGAGACCACAGCCAATCATGCTGACCAATATTCTCTCATTGTTTCCTGGTACTCCCGTCTCTGCGTCCATCTATTGTCTCTTGTCTTATACTAAGATGGTAAGTTCTTTGGGCCAGGGAGCTTCTGTTTGTTTTGTGCTTGTATAGCACCTAACTTAGTGGGATCTTGGTTCGTAAATAGGTGCTTTGATAATATAAATAACAAATAATAACAGGCGTTAGTTTCTGATCTCATCTCATGCAAATTCTTTTTAAGATAGTATAACATTTTGCACTTACTGTATTTAGCTCCTTTCAGAGGATCTTAAAGCACCTTATAAAAGTCTATTTTTACAACTGGGGAAGTCTAAGGCAGAGAGACCGTGAATTGTCCAAGACCACAGAGAAGGCAGTGACAGAGGTAGGAATAGAACCCAAATCAGATTGCCTATCCCATGCTTTAACCACCAGACTATGGTGATATGGACACATCCTAGATTCCTCCATAAGGTGGTGACCGGATTTCTACTTAACCAGTCACTCACCCTGCTAGCTTCCCTTCCATGCCTATATGCTCATTGCAGAAAAGCCGTTCTCCAGAAGCTGCATGTCAGAAGATCCCTAAATTTTTATCTGGAGTAGACTAAAATCCTCAGGATGTCTCAGTTTTGCTTTGTTTTCACTGTTTCCAAAAGAAGCATGTGTAAGTGGCTGGCTGCCTCTCTCATGTCAATAACCTGGCAGCCGTACAGGTTTGTCACATCAAAGCTCATTCTGTACGAAGCAAGTTTTACTCTGGCGGCAACAGGCTAACCACTGCAATATAAGTATTAAATAATGTTGTTAATTGGAGATCTGCAGTGCAGTCATACAGTGTATGTCAGCATGGTATGTTCCCCAAGCACTGTAACTTAGATTCATCCTTTAGGCTGGAGTAGAGGTCTGGTCTGTCAGTGTCACAGAATCACTGTCTCCAGTTTAGGGGCAGACAAACTCTCCTAACTCGGAGCAAACTGACTTTATTTTTAGGCTCTCTGTATTTTAAACTCCTCTTGCCTGTTTTTAGAGGTATTTTATCTCACTGTGTTAAAGTACAAAACACACCAAAATTTATAGAAATATCTTATTTCTCCACTCTGAAAAGTGTTCTTTAGTGTTAACGTCCAAGATAGATTTACCTGGCCTGCAGCTTTACTTTCTGCTGCAGGTTTTTTCATTTTCTTATGTTGTATTTTGTTTTATAGAGACATCCTTGGAACTGTTAATCTCCAAGTGTTGGGGATCTGTTCTCTTGGGAATCTTTGCAGGGGTGAGAATTACCTACCTGTAACTGTGGTCTGAAAATTACCAATCATAAGATATCCCCTCTTGTCCACCTTCCTCCCCATTGAGCTCCAGGTTCTGTACTTCTTAAATGAAACTTTTTAAAAAACACACATGGGCGTGACTTCACTTGCCAGCTGTAGGTTGGAGCAGAAGGGGTGCCCGGGTGACCATGTGAAAAGTGCTCTGCTGGAACTAACATTTAAGAACTTTGGGCTTGGGAATTTCCAGCCTTGGTTGGGGACAGGAGCACAGCCCTGAGAATAGTGATGGATAATCTCCATCCACTATTATAGGGGAGTCATTTTCTTTCATCCAGCAGTGAACTTGGCCTGCTCACGTGTAAGGTTCTCATTTGAGTGCCCCTCATTTGTTGGGTCCCTTCTGCTGATGACTTAGCAGGCTGACAGTATTTGTTCTCCATTCTCCATCGCTGGACAACATGCTATTAATAGCGTTTGCATCTAGGAGAGTACTAACGCGTCTTCCTTCCAGGGAATAAGAATGTACGGAAGCTCGTTGGCTTGTTTCTGTGGCACTGATTGGAAGTGTCCTTTGTGGAAATCAGTGGTTTTATGCGTTTTTAGTGTCCTGATTTTAGGGAACATAGTCTCCAGGATAGGTAGAATGCTTTTAATTCCAGTTCAATTTTACTGTTCATTTGAATTCATTCATTACATGACTCCACTTGTGGGAATGGTGGATTTCTGTTAGGCGAGGAGGAGAATCCATTTTTCTCCATTGGAATTTAACACCCCTCAATTGCCAGTTTGACTTGAGCTTGAGTTCTCCTCACACAGTGATGCAGACTGCCTGGTTATTGACAAGCTGACCATCACCGACATGGGAACGACAAAGGTGTCCAAACCACTAAACAGCATGCCCCCGCATTCTGAGGAGCTCCACAACGCTGCAGCTGTCAGCATGGCTGCCACAGAAAGCACAACAAAAGACAGGTGAGCGGGTCGAAGTTTTCTAACCACCGTGGGTCAGACAAAAACGGTAATTTATTCTGTACCAAACCATTGAATCCCTCCGCTTAGCACTAGCGCACAGTAGAATGCATGCTGGTCTGTGTTGGGTGCCTAGTGACCCATGAGGCTGAAAGCACAGTGTGTTAGACTATTACAATATAATGCACACATCCTGCAGTTTCTTACGGATTTTATCAAATCTTTGATGCCATGAAAAGTAAATCATAGGGCTTTGATGTTTAATATTCACTCTGCATAAGGAAATGGTCTAGTTTTTTTTAAAAAGAACCTTAAAAGCTTTAGTGATTTTTGAAAATCATGTGGGAGAAGAAATTTGGAGGATAGTTTTGGTGACTGAGACTGGGAGTCAGGGAGGTAGAGGGAAGTGCTTATTATAAAGTTGTTGGAATGTCACTTTTTAGGGTTTTTATGTAGCTTGGTCCTTGGGGATTTCCAGTGATGTCATCCTCAAAGGCCCTGCTGTCATGGAGGCATTTTGCGCTGTGTTTCAGCCAGAGGGCTGTCCCTCAATAATGAGGCGCTTCCTCCACCCCCGGGGCCAGGCACCCAGCCTCTGTAGCACTTCCTGGTCCTTGCTCTCAGACTCCTGATTCCCACATGGCAGTGCTTGGCTGCAGTTAGAACACTTCTAGGTGGAGAGACGAAGCATTTTCAGAATCGTGTTAATTTTGATGCATCTTGTTGTTTGGTGTCCTTAATGCACAGGATCACAAAATGCTTTGTAGAAACAGTAAATTGTAAGCAGAAGGCAAAGACGCTCTGGGACTGGAGGAGGAGAGTACCAGGCAGAAGGGTCTACCACAAGTGAGATTGGCTCTCCACCCCCAACATAAGGACATTCTTTTTAACTTCCTGACTCTTCTGTGCCCCTTCTGCCATTGTTCACCCAGCTAGCCCGTCAAGGGATCAGGGTTTTTTATAGAAAGTTGGCATTGTAATATGAGATAAGTCCTTTGATGAAAGAGAGCGAGTTGGGTGTTGGGTTAGATAGGGTGTGTGTAGGTTTGTTCGTTGTCATTTTGTTTCTTCATTTTTTATTATGCCTTTCTGCAGCCAGCCCTAGGGGTCACTGTTTGGGCACGCAGCTGCAGCCCCTCCGATGGCCACTGTCAAGCTGCTGAGAGCGTGGAATGATGCTGCCATTCCCAGGAATATGGGGGCCCAGGAAAGGGTTGTGTGGACTTGGAGTCCTAGGTCCCTGTGGTAGTTAGCGGCGGGGAGACAAGGTGATGGTGTCAGCCAAGAACAAGACGTTTAATTTCTGTTTCTTTGGTTTCACCTCCTGGAGAGGCTGAGTTTTTCAGGATCCTTCGGTTCATGATGCTTAATGCTCACGTGGGAAATAGATCAACCATCTGTGATTTCATAATAGACGAACCCCCTGACTTTGCCTGTATTAACGGTCTCTGGTTGATTGATGCTGCTGGGCCAATTTTGTTACATTCTCCCCGTCTGGGTGTTTAATACATTATGAATCAAGATTGGGGTAGGAGTCAGTGGGGAGTAGGTGTGGCCATGCTCACTGCATCCATCCTGAGGCATAGGAGATGGTCTTCTCCAAAACTGCGTCTGATGACGTGTCCATTTAGTATGAAAGTCCCAGGATAGGAGTAAGATGGGACTGATTTTAGTGTACCACTTGCCCTGACTTTGCTGCCAAGTCACTTCACAAGCTAACTGAATTCCTAACTACAGTGGCATTGGAAATGCAGAGCGTGCTATGGGCAACTTCAGTCTGCATGTAGATGAAGAATCAGCTCAGGATTTCCTGGCCACCATGATGACCATGGTCCTATCCCTGGTAGCTACTGTCTCAACTCACACATTGGCTGGGATTTCAGGCTAGGCAACTGGACCTTCAGATCTGTCATAGACTGACCATTACCTCCTGTGCTTTGAGGTTGGGGCTCATCTGTCTTGTCGGGAAGGGACCTGTTTAGATGGTCTGCCCTTGAAGAGTCATGGAACTAGAAATGTTCTAGAGAGCTCTGAGGGAGAATCTTGTTCCACTGACAGACCACTCCCTCGACAGGTTGGCAGAGCGCTGTAATACTCTCCTCCCGCCCCATTCCCACCGTTGATGAGATGGCCCCTGGGTGCCCTCTTTGCTGGCTTTGTTCTTACAGGCCATGCTATGTTACAGATGATCTCTGACAAATGAGGCGAGAGGGAAGTTTTGTGCTGAGGCTGGAAAGTTGCAGCATAAAGATTTTCTTTAAGTTCTTGTGTTGTGGTTCTGTGGGAGGCAAAGAAAAATCTCAGACATCAGATTTGTTTTGGGCAATAGGTAGTCTGGTCAACCTGGACTGTCTCAGTTGTATAGCAGGTCGGAGTTCCACCAGCTGTGAGGAAGTTGTTTGCCCTTTTGTGGACACAGTAGATCAGATTAGCAATTGGCTATCTACCTCTCTGGTGGCAGAGCAGGGTCTTGAGGGAACAAGGTCCTCATCTTCTCTGAGAGTGTTTCACCCAGTGATGTTCCCTGAACTAACGGAGGTGTTGGGAGAACTTTGTCCCACAACCTGTGCTTTGGATCCACATCCTTCCTGTCTGGTGAAGACCACTCGGGAAGTAACGGGTCGCCTTACCTGCGAAGATTGTCAACACATCTTTTAGAAACGGCAGGCTGCTGATAGCTTTGAAGAAAGCAATAGTCTGTCCTTTGCCCAAGAAGTCGTCACTTCACACTGGCAATTTGTTGTCCAGTATATCATCTTCCCTTGTGGAGAAGGTTTGTATGAGACAACAGTCCAAGTATCTGGATGCCATTGATCTCCTTGACCCTTATCAATCTGGATATAGATTTGGCTACAGCACCAAGACTTCATTAGGTCGCATTGGTTGATGATGTGCTGGCGATGAATAAAGACCAAGGCTCCATGCTGGTGGTATTTTATGCCTTCAATACAGTTAATCAAGAAGTGATACCCTGGCAGGAGCAGATGGGGCTTCACTCAGTGCCTTCATTCTTTTCTCTCTCAGATCTCAACGGGTAGTTGTGGGCAGTTGCCCCTGTCCCGAAGAGCTCTCAAGTCTGGAGTGCCATAGGGTGCCATTCTGTCACCCCTCCTGTTCAACACGTGGGTGGAGCATTTAGAAGTGTTAGAGAGGAGGCACAGGGTGCAGTGGGCTGATGACACCCAGCTACATGTCTGTCTCATCTGATTCAGTGCCTCACCCAGTGTCTACTTGAGATTGGGGCTGGCCGAGACTCTGCCCAGACAAGACTGAGGGTGAGGGTGGGTTGGCTGAAGCAGTCGGAGGAGAGGGTACAGGTAATATCCGCCTCTTTGACTGAAGGAGTGCATCCATCATTAATTAATATTGTTCACGGCTTAAGGGTGCTTTTAGACACCTCCTTCAGCTGCTGTTTGATGTATTACAGGAGAAAACCCAGCGTTCAGGTAGTTCTACTCCACTAGCACAGCCATCAGCCAATCGGATTGTAAAATATCCAGTGCATTTTATATGAGTGCACACTTGAGAACCAGGAGCATATGGCTTCTAATCCTTGTTTTGACATTTGGCCTTGGACACCTTTACTGCAAGTTCTCCATATGTAAAATGAGGCAGTCCAGTGCCATACAAGTGCTAAGTTATTAATGTTGTGGTCATGGCTATTGAAAAAACGATACGCTGGAAGGATGGCTTCAGCGTCACAGAAAAGATGATTTGTCCAGGTGAATGCTCGGATCAGTGTAAGGTTGAAAGAAGATGGGTGGGTGGCACAGCTGTCTTAGTTCTCTAATGCTTACTGTAATACTGTTTGTTTTTCTTGTAGGAAAGAGGAGGTCTTGCCATGTGCTGAAGCCACATTAAATGGCCCTGCTTGATGAAGCAAATGCAGTGGGACATGTCTGATCCAGGCCAGGCTGCTACCTGGTGATGCAATTTGTCAGTTTTTTTCATTTTAATTTTATTTTTTAATAAATGCTGCATTGATGAGCGAGCTGGCATTCAGGACCAGACACACGATTTCAACACCAACAATCTGTTCCGGAAGACACTTGTATTGTCTAAATGTAGCATTGATCAGTTAGTCATCACAGGAGTGATTCGGCCCTACCCAAGGAAGCCTTCTGCCTAATTTTAGTACCTTGTCCCCCTCCCTCTTCTTCCCTTGTTTTTGTTTTCTATTTGGGGTTCAATCCTATTTTCTTAGTGTTATTGCACACAGTATTCAGCTTCTCTTCAGAAAGGTAGCAGGTCTAACGCTGGGACTTGGACGGTGCACAATAAGTCCTGCAGTCGTGTGACCAAAGTTCCTGATGGAGCTGTCTTTGGGCAGCATTTGCACCGCTTTTGTATAGCAATAAAGCCTTATCAGAAACATTTCATAGGAGGTAAAGATAAAACAAACACTTTAAATGGGATGAGGCAGGGAGGGCTGGGGATTTGGGGGGGGGGGGGGTGAAAGGGAAGACAATGACATTGTGTCCCAAGCCAGAGGCCAGATAGCAAAGTTAGTGTAACACTGACCTGTCTTGAGCAGTGGGCTGTCTCTGCATTCCAGTGAGTTGCACAGTGCTCTGTTTCTGGGGCGTGACAGTTCACTGCAGGAGCTTGGAACATTTAGCAACTGGTTATTTCCGTCCACGCCATCAAAACTCAACCCTATGGATGTCGTCGTCCTACGTTGGGCTGGAGAGCGTGCAAAGACAGTAGCATGTTGTGTTTGCCATCTGAGAGGACAGTCATCCCAGGACGGCTGCCACGCAGGGACAGGAGCTGATGTGGCACAGACAGGTTATCAGGTGCTTGCTGGCTTTTTGGAGACTAATGTATTTTCAAATTGATATGGAAATCTTTTTGTTCTGTTTTTAACGTTTTTAATGGATGCAGGAACAGCAACACTTTTGCACTTTGTACCTAGTGACAGCAATGGAGAATGATGTGGCCCCAGCACAGGACTCCTGCTGTAAAGCCCCATGTAGACGGTTGTGGAGGGGGCTGGGGAGACACACTGCTCTCAGGAACTGTGAGGTAGAACAGTGCAGAGAAAAGGACGGTACCTAGAACTGCCCAGGAGCAAGGTCATGTAAGGTTGTGTACTTGACCCTGGAACAAAGGAGTCTCTGCGTAAGCATGAAGTGCCCAGCCTGTGCTGGCTTCAGCAGCGAGCTTGTTCCCAGCCTGGACTTGTGCCCTAGGTCGTACGGGTGTAGAAGATGGGCCACTTTCAGTACCAGGCTCAGGCTCATAACAGCAGACGGCCATAAGTTGTGATCAGTCTATACTCCTGTAGGCTTTAAACACGGAGCTGGGCTTGCTTTTGTGTGTAAGCCGTGTGCTGAAACCCACCTGGTCACATTTGAAATGCCGCTTATTTTACTAGTCCAAGATCTAAGCTGGAAAATCATTCACTTTGGAATAAAAGCATGAGGCTTGGCACATAGGTAGCCAAATAGCATATTTTCAGCTGTATTCTCATCTGTGCGAATCTGAAGGCCTTCACCTTGTGAGTATGAAAAATAGCCCTGACACACCTCTGTTATCGTGAGCAAAAGCGCCCCAGCCATATTTCAGTTTGTTTTTTAAAATATTTTATTTTGAAATGCCTGATGTAGAAGTACATTATGCTGCATATTAAATGTTCTTAAAAGTATATTGGTATAGAAAAGTGAAGAATGAAATGTTCCCCCTTGTCCCAGCAGAACAGACCGACTCGGTATCAGTGTCTGGAAGTGAGGTGCCCACAACACAAGGCTCTCATTTGATTTGTCCAAAGATACACGTTTTGTTTTGTTCTTAGGGTAGACTGAAGATTTCCTTTATTGGAGTGTCAGAAATGAAGTCCAGAATGCAGGAAGTAAAATGAGATGACACTCAGCAGCCCTGTGAACTCGCAAGTTGTTGTTGAGGCAGTTTCTTGCAGCTGATACAGCTGTGTTGTCTCCCAACTGCAGGTATTTGGTAAGCAAATGCTTTCCAGCTCCATTGTTCTGGAGGCCCTCTCTCCCTCCATCATGCAATTGAAAGATGCATTGTGCTGGGAGGGAAGCCTCACACTCACTGTTGCTCCCCAGGCTGTTCAGAAGCCAGTTTCACTTCACAGCCAAGATTTTCCAAAAACAATTACATGATTAGTAACCTTGAGTGCCCAGTTGGAGATGTTTTATCAGAGTCTGATTTTCAGAGAGTTGAGGTTCGGCAGTTTATAAAAATCAGGCCTCTTTAAGATCCCTTAAGTTGGGCACTCAAAAAATTTACTTTGTCAAAGCAGAAATGTTATTAACCAAATACAACAGACCTGCAGCTGATCCCAGCAGTTACTTGAAATCCATGGTTGGGTGTCACAGCCCCATTAAGTACCTGGTGAGGCCAATAGCTTGTTCCCAATCTCTTCTCAGTTGCAATTCTTGGCTTCCAGGGGCTGCATTTCCAGCTGGTATCGTTCTGTGACTAAGTGCAGCCTGCTTGGGATCTCTTTCAGAGGAGAAGGGGAAAAGTCCGTAGGAATCTGGTCTTTCTCTTGGCTTGATGCAATTTCAGCCACTGCAGTAGGGTAAGTTGCATCAAGTCTGCAGTGTTAGTAGCAGATTTTAACCTTTTATGTTTCATGTTCATTAGCTTTGAGCATTGACTTCATGACTTCAGGTGAAAGCTTTAAAAATGTGTTTAAAACATATCCAATAAGCAGCTCTACATGGCCCAGAATATGTTAGGAGTGAGCCCCAACCTTCGCTGCACAGTGTGAATTTGGAGGGGCTCTTTATCTGAAAAGACAGTAGTGAACTTGGTCTCTTATAAATAGATAAACTTGTAGAAATGCCCCAGATTTCTTGCTTTTAAGACAGTGAATGATTCCTCCATATTCTGGAGTTTAGGTTCTGAATTATACCTCATTGGCTCCACAGCATTGTCCTTCCTATTAGCCAGTGGACTGAGATGGAAAGTAGCTTTTATATGTTTTCACCCTTAGTATCTTGGAGGTTGTAATTTAGCACAGAACCTGTCAGGTGGTGGAGTCCTTGCCTGACCCAAATGATTTTATTAGTAAGCTACACACACAACTCTGGTTATCTGTATATTGAACTCTCTGCTATCTAAAGTCATGTACAGTATGTCTAGATTAAGGTCCCTCTGTCTCCAGTTCATGTGGCATGCAGTTTTTCCATTTGGTCCTCGTTGCTATCTGAGCTTTCTTCCTAGCCACTTTAGGTTACAGTCTAGTACTCTTGTTGTGTCGCAGTCTGGCCATTTGATTGCTGTACTGTATCCGGATTACCTTTCGTGGTTATTTTCTTTTAAGGGTTCACAATGACTTGATAAGAAATCGAGTTAACCCTTTCCTAGGCCGTGCTAGGCCTTGTGCAATGTCCCAGTTGCAACTAAGATGTTTCCATTGTTTATGATGACGGATTGGGACTTACTTTGACCATTGGAGGTGTTCTTCGTCGGATGTATGCTATACATCTGGGTCCTCCCACAGGGTAAGCACTGTATCCTGGGGGGAATTGGTGCAAGGTTGGAAGCAAGGCATATTCTCTACCAAAGATGGATTTATTTACTCCCAGCTGTATCCTTCAAAAATAATTTTAGACTGGAGCAAAATCATGATCAGAAAGCAATGAAGACTGAACAGGAACTGTATTCAGCTCTCTCCTTCCCCATCTATATGCAGTATTTAAATCTGATCATATCTATATGGTATGTATAATTTGTTTAGTTTTGAGTGTGTGTGTGTGTGTGTGTGTATATATATACACACACACACACAGGTGTGTGTATATAAATAGCATAATACAGATTTCAATAGATATATGTATGTTTATATACACACACAATTGGAAATTGTATGAAACTTAGTGAAATGGAGACTCAATGCACAAAGAACTTGATTTACATATGTATGCACAGGTACATATAAAACTCCAAGACATGCACAGCCATATTTGTTGGTTAAGACTAAGGCTGATGGAGCATAGCTTGTGGTGGGAAAATCTGTTTTATATATTCTAGTTTAATAATTTTCACCCAGCAGCGCATTGAAATAAATGGATTACAAAAGTGCATTCGCTGCAAAATGACTGATTTATATCATTGCTCCTGGCAACGCTGCTGCTGTACAATACTTTATCTGCCAATGTGCTTTTGTACTGGAAGAGGTGGAGGAGTTGGTTGCACACTTCGTAGAGAAACGTATACAAATCAGCTGTCATTAAAAAGTTCTTACGTTGTACTGACATCTCACCTTGAAGCTGATAGGACTGTGAAAAAAATCCTTCATCCTTTCAGGCATCATAATATGATCTGTGGACCTTTGGTGAGTCCTGTCTTGTGATGTCAGTTGATCATTATCAAGTGTGTATGACCACTCTGTTGAAAACCAGGGTTTATTACATTTGCAAAAAAATTAAATCTGTGAAAGGCAAATCTATTGTAATTGCTATCAGACCATCCTGTTGTTGAGATGTTTCAGAGAGAACTGGTTAGGGGGCATGGGAACTTGCAAACTCAAGTTGTTGTGTTAGAATCTTTTGCCTTGCTTTTGTGCAGACCTGTTTGTCTGAATTCTCTTTCACGTCATTCTGTTCAGGATTTGGAGAACGTAGGGAGTGCTGCTAGCAGGGAGACCTATTCTTACAGATTGAATGGGACTTGGAATTGCTTTCTCAGGTGTGAATTCCCCTGCTGCTAACCTAGAGGTATGGTTCACTTCAAAATTGTACCACCATAAAAACAAAGGATACTTGAACCAAGGATATTTGGTTGTGTTCAGCACAGCTGTCTGGAAAGCACATGAAAAGTTGGTGAAGTTTTTTCTTTACTCTGGCTTGCCTGAACACCCTGTTGATGGCAGCCATCTCAGTCAAAACGTTTGGGACACAGGTGTAAAATTTGCAGGCCGGGGGAGAGGAAGAGGAAAAGGAAAGCCGAGGCCTAAAGTTGAGATTGTAAAGGTGGCGGTACAGTTTGCCCCCATTATCAGCGGGTGTCCAAAAATGAGGTTCAGCAAGATGGCCAGCCAGTTGTAATTGAAGCATCATCTGGCTTATTTAAGAGGTTGTACCTGGCCAGAAGTTCTGGCTGATAGATCGCTATCCATGGGCTGTTCACTGCTATCTACTCCAGAATGGTTTTCCTATGTTTTTTTCTAATGTTCCACTTTCCCTCTAGTTCCCCTGGGCAGAAGCCTCTTGATTTCCTTCTGCCTTTTTAGCAGCTGGAGGCTTTGTTGCTAGTACAGTGCTCGGATGTGTGGTTTCGGGATCCACAGCCCTCTGCAGGGATATCACAGGTTTTGCTTCCCTTCCTCATCTTGTGCAACTTTCCCTGCATTTTTAACTCCCCTGCCTTTGTACTTTTAATCATGGCTCCATCTTCCCGGATGAGGAGCCACTTCTACTCCAGCCGTAATCCCGTTTAAATGAAAGCATCCCCAGTTCCCTCACTTGTCCAACAATTCTAACAGAGAAACAATTGTGTTACAACAGCAGAATCCACAGCAACTCTGCTGACCTTGTTAAGGTGCATGGTGGATTGTCAGTATTGATGTTGAAAGAGGGGGCCCAGTGGAAGTGGAGGGAGAACAAGTCTTTATTGCTTTGTCTATTCTGTTATGCAGCTCAGACATGCAGCTCAGTGTCACATGAGACTGGTGGAGTTCTTCTTGTTTCAGTTTAATTTTAAGAAAAAAATACAGCAGCTCGTCTTATAATTTTTAACCATTGTTCCAAAGAATAGGTTTCCTTCTCCTGTTGATCGTCGCATAACAGTGACCTCACTCTGAACTGTGTTCCAGTCAGTTGATTTAGTCTCTAGCTGTTAAGACAGATTTTGATGTGATTTTTTTTTCAAAAGTGTCTATAAAACAAAATGAAACCTTGTGTTCACAATGGTTTGTTGGTTTTTCTTTATCCCAGCATCAGTTCTCTGTGAAATCCTAATTGAGCACTTCATTATTGTTCTGAAAACATGTTTTTCCTGGTTATAGGCTCTCACAAGGCAAGTGTACTGCACAGATTTATTCTTTCACCAGGGCCAGCTTTAAAATAAAATATTTTGGATAGGTTCCCCCCCAAAGTGAACGTTAATTTGTTAAATAACCTTGGCCCTTTCCCTTTTACCAGGGGATGAGGGCTTTTAATAGGGGGATGTGTTGCAAAGGTTGCTGCATAGAGTCTCACGTTTGTTTGCTATTTAGAGGGTACAGTATAGGTGTTTCTTGCCATGGTGCTGTACAGTGCCACTCTAACCTCTAGAGCAGGGGTTCTCAAACTGGGGGTCGGGACCCTTCAGGGGGTCGCGAGGTGATTACATTGGGAGTCGCGAGCTGTCAGCCTCCACCCCAAATCCCACTTCGCCTCCAGCATTTATAATGGTGTTAAATATATAATAAAGTGTTTTTCATTTATAAGGGGGGTCGCACTCAGAGGCTTGCTGTGTGAAAGGGGTCACCAGTACAAAAGTTTGAGAGCCACTGCTCTATAGTGTTTGAGTTTGTTTAGACATTACAGGCTAAATTTTCTTATAACACGTGGACAGTCATCACGCTCCTGGGGGAGAAAATTTTGTGGTTTTCTGAACAACTAGCAGAGGGATCTTTCTGTGATTTCTGGGTTTTTTGCACGAAACCATGCAGAGTCTGCTGGGAACAGCTGAAGAAGAGAGCGGTGAACTTGGGGGAGGGTGGGGGGGTAAGAAGGCAATACACATTAGTATAGTCCAAGGATTTTCTGCTACTAATTGGTTGAAGTGGGGTCAAATGACAAAAAAAGCTTACCCACAAAATGGTCAATAGCCTAGAAACTAAGCTGGTGACATGATAATACTTTTCCAAAATGCTGCATTGCTGGTGATGTTCATAGGAAAATGCATTTCACATTCTTGGTAGTTTTGGTCGTCTTGGTGAAGATCGGATCGCTTCTTCCTTTTCCAGGGATGGCTTTCTCTGAGTCTCAGCACTTGCATGGTTTCACTAATCCACTTTTAAAGGGATTTTTTTAAAATCATGTTATTCAAGCTGCCTAGTAATCAATAGCCTGGTATGGGAACATGGCGACAGGTCGTCTGGGAAGGATTTAGACAGTCATTAATAAATGTTCATAATTCCCTTGGTCCGACTGCACAATCATCAGGTTGCATCTGGACTGGCTGCCTACTCGTTTCCAAGTGGGATTTAAGCTGTTTGGTAAAGCCCTAGCTGGCTTGGAAGCGACCTACGTGAGAAGCCTGCCTCTCTCCCTGTGTGGTGATACCATCGTTGAGACCAGCAGAGACACAAGCTGGAGTCCTCTTGCTGCTGCCAGGGCATTCTCTGTAGCGGTCACTTGATTTTGGTACTTACTTGCATACCACTGGTCCAAACCGGTGTGAATCTGTTGGGATCTACCCCGTGCTATGAAGTTTCATCGGCTTTCCACAGGCTTTGGGGGAAAGGGGAAAGTGGGGTCATTCAATATAAGTTTTACGGGACGGGGGTAAGACTGCTGATTTGTGAACATCTTTTTAAAAAATACATTTCTGATGCATGTAAAAGGCACTTAGAGCACAGAGAGGGGGACATTTGTATTAGAAAGGTAATCATGCACATAAACTAGTTAATTTCTCCCTTTTCCCAAAAGAACCCCCATGGTTCACTGAAATTTACAGCGGGGGAAAGTCCTGGAGGACTAAGGGTCCCAGCATAATGTGCATTGAGGAAGAGTAGAAATTCAAAGGCAGGTTACTTCCTTCGGCATGATGGTCCATTCGGTGCACATTTGCTTGCTCTAAGTAAGTGATGCTTGTAAGTGGGAAAACTGTCAAATACATTTTAATTATGAATCTTACTAATTTTTCAACTTCTACAGTTACTAAATTTAAAATAACTTGGAGTAAACCCCATCTTATGTCAACATTCATAACTAGCAGTCAGACTTTTCTAAGCCTCCCTATGGCAGGTAAATTCCAGTCTCCATTTATCAGGAAAACCATGACAACATTGGCTTCATTGTGGATGGTGCCTTAATCAAAACCCAGAATGGTGCTGTGAGAATTATTTTGTGTAGCCCTTAGATACCCCCTAGGAGGATCTATGCATGGGCGTCACAGTTTTTTAAATATAAATTGAGCAGAAGTTTCTAAGAAGATTTTTTCCAAAACAGGCAGGGCCCTATCCAACTCTCATTAACTTTATAGTGACAAAAGTTTCTGACTTTTTATGGGGGAAACTGGAGTTGTGGGTTGAGAGAGAGAAATTTTCACTAGGATCTGGCCTCCACCTGCAGCGTCAGGAAGAATGACATTTCTTAGTAAACCCCGGTAGAGACAATATCACAGACTGAAACACTCGCTGTCTCTGATACAGAGAGTCACAAAAATTCACTGTTTGACTGGCTCCTGGTTGTGCAGTTACCATATTATGGCCAATTAGGCTAGAACTCGTTTACCTCATTACTGGAAGGGCAGTGTGTTAATAAACCTGACCTAAGAGTAAAAACCTCCCAATCAATTTTATAAAAGAATTGAATTCTATTCCAGAATGACCTTTTTCTTATTTTCAGCTTTTTAAAATGGACTATAAAAAGGCTGGAAAACGGGCATTTTTGTAAAATGTATTTTTATATTGATTGCTCAGGAGAGAGGATTTTTCCTGGAGTAGTGGCGGCTTTTTGTACACGGCTGGGTCTCCCTCAGCTGTTTTCATTTGACAGTTGTGTGCATGTAAATGTTAAAAACATTTTTCATGTGGTTCTAATGATTGAGTAGAACTTCTTAAAGATTCTGGTAATCATAATAATTAGTTTGTATTAGTGCATTCCCCACTTCGCTGGGTTTTGAGTAATCGTGTTTCATGCATCAAGACAGTTCGTTGCCAGGTATTGGGAAAATTTCTCCTAAATTAGACCACTAACGGGTGCAAACTTGGGATATAACTAAATCACATCAAATGTTAATAAAACTTGAACAAAATTTGAAATAATGATTATTTGTACTGATAAATTGGTGACCCCCAGTGAATATTTTGGTTGAGTTTTGAATATAGGCCCTCAACCTGCAAACACTTAATTTAGTTCAACGAGTCTACTCACATTAATAAAATTATACACATGTTTAAATGTTTGCAGATCAGGGCCATAGGAAGTACCAGGAAAATAGAGAGGGCTTTAACTTAAGATATGTATTAGACAAAATACAACTAGGTCCCATGGGCCTCTGATGTTTTCTTTTATAGAATATGTACTGGCCACTTCTGTGTGTGAGTACCGTTATGTACTCGGAGTTATCGACCATGTTTCTCTGATGCTACAAGCCCTAGGTCTTCAGCCTCAGTATTCAATGGTGGTTTTATAAACCACACCCTATCACACGGTGATAATGATCCCGCCCTAAGTTTTTAACCCTTTCAGTGCCCATCTCATTTTTGTAGTAAGGTTTAAATACCGAACTGTGACTGGGGCCTGGCATGTATTTAAAACTTAGATTGACATCGCTACAGGCGTCAGGGGTATGTGAAAAGTCCATACTCCTGAGTGCTGTCGGTATGCCGACCTACAGCCCCAGCGTAGAGGTGGTTAGGTTGAGGGAAGAATGCGTCCGTCAACATAACTACCCTCGCTCAGGCAGGTGGAGTCACTGTCGCAAAGGAAGAACCCCCTCCGTTGCTGGAGTGTGCAGCTGCAGCGCTGTATGCCTCTGTAACCTCTGTCGTGTAGAGCAGCTCTGACTTGCCAGGGCAGCGTGACCACCAAAGCAGAATGTCCTCGTGCAGGACATCACCCCTTCTTTTCTGAACTGAGGCAACTGATGTTCTTTTCCAAGTTTTGTTTCCGATACATTGGTATATTAGCCCACCTCCAGTGCAGTGTATGTCGCCTCTCTTCCTGCACTCTTCACCAGTCACCTCACAAGAGACCCCGATTATTGTACTCAAAGCTTTAATAGGCAAAAAGACCAGTATGGCTTTGAATGTCAGTTGTCACAGCATATCCTCTGAGGCCTTCTTTGTTATCTGTGCCACGTCAATTCAAATCAGAATAGTAATAGCATTGAATTTGCCCTAAAAATGCATTGATTTGTTTAATTTAGCACACAAACGTTATTATTCGTCCCTAAACCATTAACACCAAGAGAACTAATAATTACCTTGTGCTATATATTTATGTAACATATTAATGACACACATCTGCATATTGTATGAAAACAGCTAGAGTGAGCCTAGCATTTGCACGGTGTAGTACTCAGTGTTTTAGCAAACATCACTGTACATTTTAATAGTTAAGATATTGGGCAGTTTCTGGAAATGATTTGGAAAAAAAAAAGTATTAGCTACTACTTTAACTCCTAAGAGAGCTAACTTTACAAAAGGTCTTGAAATGGCACTTTTCTAGATTAGACATTAGATATGGAAAGTCCCTGTAGGTCGTCTTGTCCATCCAGCAAGGTTGTTCTCTGCAGTATATTTCCCCAGTATTGCTTTGGCCAATCAGTTTTAAAATGTTCCAGGCAGTGGGGTTTCCACCACTTCCTTTAAGAGACTGTTCCACAAGTAACAGATTTCCATTTTCTAATACATTGATTTTCCATTTATTTCATCCCATCACTCCTACTTATTTCCTTTTACCCCATGCTAAATAATTCCTCTCTCCCCAAAGATCTAGTCTGAGACGGGTGGGGGGGGGGGAGGGAGAGAGGGGATGAAGCCACCTGCTACATGTGAGTAAATATTAAGTGTTTCTTGTATCTAAACATTAACAAAAATCTACCTGCAAAACTGTTCACCTAATTCAGAAAGTATTTTTCTACTCAGATGTTTTTTGAAGTCGCCTGTTGATTTTTTGGAAAAAGCTGAGTGGTCTGGATAGCCGCCCTACCCATTGTGTAGCATCTTCAAGGAGAAGATGCAGTGTTCATGCATTGCAGGATAATGCTCCAGGACATTGAAGGAAAGGAATGCTTTCCTTCTTTCAGTGGACTTCATCAATACGTGGAGAATTAGGGAACAGGGAGACATTTTCGAAAGGTCTGAGTCCCTCATTGCTGCTCACAATTCTTTGTGAGTGATCCTAAACACTTTTACAATGAAAATGAGAAGTAGTAACACACACAGAACCCAGAACACTGTTTCTGCATATCAGGACATTGATGAGTGACTCTCTGTACCTAAAAGGGTGATGGATAGCTCCTGCTTCTTGTGAGTACAAGTGATATGGTCGGGAGAACCAGGTCCTTCTGAAGGGTCAAAAAATCATTTCATGTGCTTAGATGCCATAGCCACAAGGGCTTTAAAAATACGTATAATGAAAGGTACATTTCACCTGCACACTGTAATTACTGTACATCCTGCTTAACTGTCATTAATCTGCAGAATCCTTTACCCGTATACTCTAGTGCTCGTTTCAACACTTAAAACTGATGAAAGGTGATTTAAAACTCTTGCCTAAGAAAATGATTAATCATAGCCTTGCCTTTAGCTAGAATATTATTTAAATCTTTCATATGATTAATTTAACATTTAAGTTAAAATAACATTCAATTGCCAGTATGGAATTAAATATTTTTCCACTTCTCAAATATTCCTCCTCTGCATCTTGCTTCGGGAACGTCAGCGTCAGGTCCATTGGAAAGGCCCCTTGTGCAGCTATTTTATTTCCTAACATTTTCGTCTGTCTTTAACCGCAGCAGAACACCAACAGTATTGAAAATTAATGGCAAAGTACAAAGATCCTGTTTAAAGTACTATGGACTTTACACTCACAGCAAAGTCTGACGTAAGTCACAAGGCCCGACCCTGCAATTTGATCTGTCGTCTATGGCTCTGTATTCCCACGAGAAATGCCATTTATAGCATGAAGGCGCCTGACAGATGCACAAATCAGATTTCAAGATGGGGGTCACCAGGAAGTAGGATTGTTTTAGATTATTGAATGTTCCTGCTTATTCTAGTAAACATGTAATATATTAACTAAACAATTCTAACTGGAATCATTATTTTAAAGTGATTTTAGCACATGATATTCGCATTCTCTATAAAATCACTTCATTAATGATTTGTATCCCAGTAGCACCTGGAGGCTGCATTGACTTGTGCCCAATACAAACACATTTTAAAGGATGTCTTTGCCCAGTTCCAGCGCCACTGAAAAAATTACCTTGTCAACATATGCCACATACAGACAAGTGCACATTGAATATAACACACAATAAACATTACTGAGGGCACTGAAATGTGTCACCCCGTCCTGTCCCTGCAGTAGTTCTAAGCGCTGGGATCTGGTCTTTGATCATTAACAAATCATTCCCACAGATTCAGAATTAGACATCATTTGCAGCAAAAGAGTCACTCCAGCCCCTCTCTCTGTCACACCCCTTCCCACCCCATCTCCTGTGGCCACCAACCTTGAATGAACACATCTGCAGCCCCTCTAATATGGGCAGCCTGCCTCTTGGTTACGTGAGAAGGAAGGGGCTGGCTAAGACGACGGTAGGGTACCTCCATGCACAGTCCCACACTGAATGGAGAAGCCAGTGAACCTGCTGCATCCTTGCAAGGCTGACGCCAGGGGCTAGGTTCTGTTTGTGGAACTGTAGAGAGCAGTAGGCCCCGATTGTGTATTTACACTAGAACTTGAAGGCCTGTAGAGTGTGCGTCTATTCCAACTCTCTCTTAATTGCTCATGATGTTTCAAATAATAAATATATGATCAGTTCTCAAACTGGGCCTGCAGAGCCAGTGGTGGAAGTACATTTTCACTGGAATAGGCTGAGATCTAAATGTGATTTTTGTAGTTTAATTCCAAAGAATGTATTGTATGGGGAAACCAGACTGAAAATTACATCCTCCGTGGCACTGGAGTGATGGTGGCAGAGCGCTGCAGAGAGAGAGAGAGAGAGAGTGTGTGTGTGTGTGTGAGAGAGAGAAAAGAATCTCTACTGACAAATTTGTAAATAATATTTAATCGTTTCCCCATTTTTAGTATTTTTTTAACATAAGAGTAGAACATCAAAGAAAATGGACGTTTTAATAAAATGAAATTGTTGGGTTTTTGAGAAGGAAACTCATTTCTCTGCCCAGCAATTTTGGTAATGAAAATACAGATCTAGAGGAAAGAAAGTAGTTTAATTTCTTCAGTGTCTTAGATATTTGAATACATCTTCACAACTCCTCCAAATGATCCATTCTCCTATCTCCTCTTGCAGACAGACCCAAAAAAGGAAAGAAAAGTGCAGTTTAAACGGCTAGCTGGTGAGATCAGGCTGTATAATTCTGTCAGGTATGTTAATAGGCTCGGTGGTGGCAGCTCTAGCTAAGATATGAGATGGGGGCTCTATGCAATAGCTTACACAGAGGAAAGAATTAAACATTTTAAGGAAATGCTGACCTAGACGAGTTGTTTGTGGTTTTCTGTGGCGTGCTAGAGATGTTCGTTTCAGAGGGAGCTCTTGAGTATCAGTTATTAATGTATATAGGGATTATTTATATTTGTTAAACTTGGTTCTACAACCTAAACTTAAAAGAACTGCCAGATTTTCATGACAGTTCCTACTTGTTTTTTTTCTAAAACACACACAATCATAGGTACAGAAAGAAACGCAGAGGTACTAACACACACAGCTGTGAAGGGGCAGGAATGTTTTTTTGACCCAGCAGAATACCAGGTGTCTAAACACACTCCAATAGAGTTGGGGTGGGATTAGTCAATCCAAGAGGCAACGTCCTTATTTTCCTACCACATTACACCTCTTTTGACCACCGTCTCTAGGAAGGTAAAGTTGTATTAAAGGCATATTATCAGGTTGAAAAAAATAAACGTACTTAGCAGTATTAACATCTTAGATCATTGTAACTGAAATTTTGTTTTTTTAAATCCAGCTCACTTTTCTCCTCGATGCTGTGTGTTTCCTTTTGGCATTTCTCGGCTTGGTTGATGAAAATAAGCTTTTCAGTTTCATTTTTGTTTCTGGTCAGTTTTGTGGCTTGGTATTCATCTACTAACTGAAGGCTGCAGTTTGGGGGTTGCCGGTATTGAAAGCCAAACGAGCTGTTTCCACTGAAATTTAAAAAGCTGCAGAAACATTTCTCTTGAGCTGACGTTTTGTAAAACTGTTCTAACACATCCCAAATGTTGGAGTGAAATCAACTTGACTGAGCCTCTTTACCGAGGCAGAATCATGGTCCTTTTTATAAATGTTGGCAGTGGATGTCATCCATATGTTGAGGCAGAAAATACCCATGATTCTAATGAAATTTTCCCTATACTGGGGTGTATCTGCTCAGGCACACGGAGGAGCTTCCTCCTTCAGGCCATGATATTACTAGTGAAGAGGCACTTAGTTCTTTATGACAAATCAATTAGCTCACAGCTGGCTTAATTAAAGCAATTTGAATAGCTGATCTCTCCTAGCTGCTTAAGTTTTGAACAGTGTCCGCCTCATGCCACGGAACTTCTGAGTTACTTCTATGGGCGCTTCTTCGTAACCTCCTTGTGTTCTCTTTTCCCCCATTGTTGCATTTAGGGAACAGTTTAGACATTAGGCTCTTGGAAGTGCTTGGCTTTGCAGGCTGATAGCACACTGTCTATCAGAGATCTGTCTGATCCAGTGTCATTGCAAGATAAACTACTTGAAATGCTTGTAAAAACCATCGTTTTCCTGAAGGAAGCTGTTGGATGTTGGATTTCAGGTATAACTGGAAAGGTGGAATCCTTGCTAAAATGCCATTGAGGTTCTGTAGTAATTTGCTAATTTCACGGAAACATTAGTCACCGAGAGAACTGTGCTGGGACAGGGGCACTAACTGCTCCTGCAGCCTGGTACAGCTGTGCTGTGTGGGGATGCGCTGGGCTGTTCTAGACGACCCAGCGTGGTAAGGTTGGCTGCATTGGTTCTGCTTCTGCACAGCAGGTACAGGCTGTGCTGAGCCGCACCCTTTCACCATGAAACAACGCCCCGTGCTCGTGTAGACGGGTCTTTGGTGGGCAGTCGCTGATTTTAAAAGGGAAACTGAGGCAGCCTCCTTTCCAGTCCTTGTTAGCACAGTTGGCAGCTGACAACGCTCGAGTTCTGTGTTTGTAACATGTGGGCGTTGAGCTGTTTCTGTCTCCATAAGGGTACGTGAAAAAAGTCCCTTTAAATACCCAATCCACACTGGGAGAACTCCACTAGCTATTGCCGTGGACACAGTGTGGGCAGGGCTTTGATGTATTGATTTAGGGCCAGATTTTCAAAACAGCTCAGCATCCAGCACGCACAGCTCTTCTGAAAACCAGGTCACTCACGCAGGGGGCTGAAGAGAAGCTGAAATCTGCCTCTGGGTGCTGAGCACTTCTGAAACCCCCCTCCCTCATGCACTGGTGCCAGCGCTTGTTTGTGAGATTTCACCACCTCACGTAGATGGACTAGGGGGATGAGTCTGCATAAAAAGAAACCCATCCTAAAATGCCGCGGTTCTCTCTGAGACGCACTCCAGATAGCAATAAAACACCTGCCGGCAGAGAAGAGGTGTTGGGAGAATAGCGAGCTGAGGTAATTGGGTACAGGCTGGGTAACGAGAACATGGCTGGGTTAAGTGACTCAGAGGGACGGCTCAATTACGGGGGTACTGAGCACATTTTAAATTTCAAGTGGCCTTTCCTCGATTTGGGGGAGGGGGTGGCAAAGGGAAGGGTCTGAAGTGGGTGGATTAATTTAGTGCAATGTCATAGGGGATCCTTTTTGTTTCTCATGATGCCTACTGCCCTTAAATGTTGAAACTGGGTCTTTGTAAGCAATGTTTGTGTATTTATGTGTATATCTGAGGTACAAAGTTTTAAAATTACTGCCTTTTTCTCCCTGTTATTTTTCTGAGTAATTCCGGATGTACTTTAGTCTCTCTACTGTCAAAACTTTTATATTGTAAAACTGATGCTGGTGGGTTTTGGTTATTTTGTTTGGTTTTTGTTTTTTGTAAAAAAAAAAGAAAAGAAAAAAACAAGTCTGCATCTCTCTATCCATTGTCAGTTTTAGGCTGTAAATTCCAAATATCAATAAAAACTCAAAATTCTCATTGAGAGCGGTGGATTTCTCAAGCCCCAGGCCCTATCTCTGCCCTCTCAACCTTCTCCCCTTGCACATTTTGCACCCAGACTTACCGGTAACCTCCCCAGTCCTGGCATCCGGTTTTTTGTTAGTGTAAACTGATGACTTTGGAAACTCTGAATCTGACCAAGGAAAGGATGCAGAACAGAGAGCGTTCAGGCAGTGGCACCATCCTTTGTTTCTTTGTATTGTGTTTTTATCCTAGGGGTCTCCTGTGATGGGTTGGGGAGCTCTGTGATCAACTGACCTCGCTGGCTGTGAACAAATCAGCCGTGTTCCCAGTCTCAATACGTAAGACAGACAAACAATGAGCAACATGGCTTGGTGCAGTGTTAAACGCTTGTTTCCTTCCCCCCCGTACCAGACACCTCGTTCTTCTCAGAATAGGAATCAGGGTTTGCCTCCAGGCACCAGTCAGGGTCTGACTCATCTGCTTAGACAGTTTAGAAATCCCTCGATGGCAGCAAGTGTACATAGATCAGCATGTAGGCTTCCAGGGCAGCACCACCTGCTGGGTCCTGAAGGAAATTGCAGTGGTTTGGTCGCACACACAAGGGCTTTCAACCTTTTTTCAGTTGTGGACCCCTTAGGTTCCAGGTTGGGGTTTTTAGTTTGTGTGGAATGAATGGCCTAGAGCAGGTAAAGGGGACAGGACTTGTTTTTAACATATGCATAACCAGCCTCTGGAGCGTTGGTGGCAGCAGGCACTTAGTAGAATTTTTTTAAAGAATTAAGACACTCTTGGATGAGAGCTTACAATCACATTTTTATAACTACTCAGCCCCAGTGGTTGGATGACAAACTTCTCCTAGGACAGGGGCCTCAAGCCCACAGGGGCCTGCCAAGCTCCCCCTCCGCCCAGTGCTTTCCTGCCACCAAACAGGTGTTTGGCGACACTTAGGACTTTCCGGGGGGAGGAGCAGGGGATTTGGGGAAGGGGTTGGAATGGGGGGCTGGGAAGAGGCAGGGCCTCATGGAAGGTTTCAGTGATGCAGCCCTTGTGGTGATTTGAGTTCCCTGTCCAAGGAGCGGGTTACTCACTATTCCAGGGGCCGGGTTCTTGCACCGGCCACAGAACACAATAGCCCAGCAACCTGGTACAGCGCTGCCTTTGGGGTGTTTGGCCTAATAGCTTGGAATTCATACCTGGAAACTATTACAGCAGGGGTGCTGCTCAGTGCTGTTAGGGTGAATTGAACTGCCAAGTGCCATCAGCAGCAGCTGCCTCAGAACAGTGAAAGAACTGCCGCTGGGGTGTGATCTGTCCCCCTGCCTCCCACACTAGGTCTGATCGGCTCTAAGGGAGATTGGTGTCATGTTTCTCCTGAAATTTGTATAAGGCTGAACTGGTCTGTGAGCCACAGAATTAAAGTTTCTAGCCTTCACACTTTGTTCCAAGGTATTTTTGTGCTAATGATTTTTAATCATTTAGCAGAGAGAAGGGGCAGAACCAGTGGTCTTACAAGTGAGCCCAGGGACTGCGCAAATCAAGTTACGAGACTCAAAGAGCTCAGTCGATTTAGCTTAACAAAGAGAAGGTTGATCTGTAAGTACCGACATGAGAATGGGCTCTTCAGTCTAGCAGAGAAAGATCTAACCCCATCCAATGTCTGGAAGCTGGATCTAAAGTGTTCATTTGTAACAGTGAGGTTAATTAACCATTAGAACAATGTACCAAGGCTCCTGGTGGATTCTCCAGCCCTGGCAATTCTAAAAATCAAGGTTAGATGTTTTTCTAAAGGATCAGTTCTAGGAATCATTGTGGGGCAGGTCTCTGGCCTGTGTGTTACACAGGGGGTCAGACGAGATGATCACAATGGCCCCTTCTGGCCTTGGAATCTATGACTCACATACAGGCCATGCTCGTTCTTTGCCCACTGCTGTCAAGGGGAGAGTATGTGCATTTCCTTTTTCAGTTTCCTCATCATGGGAAAGTGACACAGGCACCAGGTTTGCCTGCCACCCAGTGCTCTATTCCTGCTTAATGAATTACTGAATCCAATACTTGGGGAATTAAATGCTTCCAGCCAGTTTAAATAAACCATGGCTTTGGGACTCTAATTCTGGAGAGCATGTGCTCTGCTGAATGGAAGGAAATCTGTTAGAGTTCACACCTCCAGCCCACTGAAGTAGAGCATTTCTTCTTTTGGATTTCAAAATTAATGAGTCTTTAGTAGTACAATATCTTGTCTAAGAAAGATATTCACCCAGTTGGTGAACATCTCCTTGGGAATCTAGACAGCACGCATGGGAGCATCTTGTACTAGAAATGGTCACTTTCCAGCCTGAATATTCCTGTAACCTTAAAGATGTAGGCATCTGAGATTGCTCTGAATTGGAGCTCTCAATTAGGTTTCCTAAGAGCAATGTTATATTATGTTCAGCTTGTGTATAGACTGAAGCAGTTTCTTCAGGCTGAGAAACCACGAGGAATAAAATCCAATTAATTGCCCTGAAACTCAAAAATCCACCATTCTCCCTCTTGGACTCAGAAGACCACCCTCCCATCATCCTAAAGGGAGGCTCATGATACCATATTGAGTGTATAATCCACAAGCCATATGGATAGAAAGCCCAAGAGAGAAACACTTCTTTCTCTCAAGAGACCCATTAGCAGACGGAAATGCAGCTGAGCCAAGAGACTTTTGTAGCAGAAGGCTACAGAGCTAATCCAAAGAAGAATGGCTCCACCCTGGAGCTGGAGGAAAAGCTCAATAGAGTGCTCTAAGCACACAGGGTTCAGAGGCCTGGATGGAAGAAACTGAGCAGTCCTGAGTCATTCTGGATTGAAATATTATGAACATGAATCTAACTGGGTGATAAATTCTTGGGCAGCCTCAGATGAATCTGGAGGACTAAGCTGCCATGGTAACAGGTGATGCTATGGTCCAGCATCTGACCTCTTGGAGTTAGAACATCTCTAAATGCTTCCTTCAGCTTCTTCCTTGTGGGGATGGAGAACAAGCCTAGGCCTCCTGGGACAGCGATCCAGGTGATATTTAGACGCCATGGCCACCTGCAAAGATTGCAGCTTTTGGGTGCTGACACCTCCGCCCATTGAGGGGGAAGTACACACTATGGAGCCCCTCTACTGGTGCATCCATTGGCCAGAGAACCTGGCAAGACCAAGAAATCTCTCTTGGATCAGCATGATGACCACAGATCCTGGGTGGGAGACGTTTGCTGGCAGCTGAGGAATTTAGGGTGATACTGGGATGTACCTTTTACACCCATTGTTCTGTATTGGATTCATGAACACCCTTAACAGGCCTGTTCCTGCCCACAGTTCTGGGGCTTGTGACTCAGGAGTGGGGCACCTATAAATGCGATGTCATGAGGGAGAGCACAGGAGAGGAGCAGGGTGATGCTCTGGTTACTGCCAACACACAGAGACAGAGGGACACTATTAAATGATGAATACAAACCTGCCCAGCAAGACAAGCAGCGAGCACTCTGCCCCCCTCTAGCCCTAACCACTGTAGATGCACCTTGAACCGCTCTCCCCCAACCAGCCTGTGACTCACCTGTGTGAGGGAATCGCTTCTGGAACCGAACCCAGCTCTGGGAAGGGCTGTATGGCACACAGGCCAAGAGAATATGCATATTAATTTTTTATTAAATTCAGTTAGTTTTCTCTTTATATAACAACATTTTCCCTCTAGGCACAATACAATACAAGGACTCTGTATGTTTGACACAATGTACAGAAACTTCAATAATCTACAACTGCTCCGGGAAGTTACAAAAACCTCCCTGTTGCACCAGCTACCTGCCACCGCCATGATCATACAGGAAAAGGAAGAGGGGACCCTGGGGGTTAAGACTGTACAAAGAGCTCTGCACTGAAATAAAACATTGTACTCCTTTAAAAACAAGACAGGTAGAACGGTCAGCGGGAAAGGGCAGGTCCCAGGCCCAAGGGGCAATGGCAGGAAGGTGGTGAACTCTAACCGAGGGGGGTAGGAGGGGGGGGGGTTGCTACCGAGGCCAGGAATGGTCTCGTGTGACCAGGCAGCTCCTTGGCCCCAAGGGACCACACGCAGATGCCCGCTGGGTTTTGGGACGAGCACACGGCTCTAGCATGTGAGCTGCTGGGGGCTAAGCTTGCCAAGGTGCAAACCAGGGAGGATAAAGGGGATTTGTTTCTGTACCAGAGATGCCATCGCCTCAGTCTCATGATGCCACCTTTGCACTGACAATAAGTTACAGCAGTAAGCGGGCTGGGGAGGGCTCAGTGGAAGTGCTAGAGAGCGGGGGCTAAAGCACAAGCTTGTCCCTGGTACACAGTTGGGGGGCGGGTGTCAGGAGCTGAGCTCTGAACACCCCCCAGCACAATGGATCCATTGCACTCGGGGGATCTCAAGGAGCTGAGGTTGGCCCCCCACAGCACAATGGCAGTGAGGAGCTCCCTGCCTTCCCCATCAAGGCTGGGGCACGTCCCGGCTCAAAGTGGAGGCCTTGCTCTGCACAGCGGCTGCATGGAGACTTGCTGCTGCATGCCTAGGGGCTGGGGCTGCAGTGATCCAAGCACAAGCTGCAGAAGCAGGGGAGAGCTGACACACACAAGGCAGCAGCTCTGTGCTGTGATCTCCAAGCTCTGGCCACTTCAGCCCCTGGGGCAGCGTGGCTGGTGAGCCCAAAGCAAGGCTGGGAGGTGAGGGGCTCATGCCACACTGCTCCTGTACACAGGCCCCAGGACAGTCCCTGTAACTGGCCTTGTTATCCTGTTCTACAGCTCGCCCCAGAGAACCTCTCTGAGAGCAACAGCCCAGCCCCACAGCAGCCCTTCCCCCCACTCACTGCAGGGAGAGGGATGGGGGCTCCGCCAGACAAGCCCCATAGCAATCCAACCTGCAGAGGGGGAGCTACGCTGCGTCGGGGGAACCTGCTCCCCACAGCCTGAATGAGCACAGGTTTCCTGGGGGGGGGAGACGGTGGGACTAAGAATATAAGCAGGTCCCAGGCCTCAGTCACCCCCCCTCCCCCACCAGGGGCAGACCAAAAGAGGAGTGGACTCTAAAGCTACAATACTGCTAATGAGACACCCCACCATCCCCCCAGAGCAGGACAGGGAGGAGGCCCCTCTTCCCCCCAGAGCGGCTCATGGGGGGGCACTACTCTTGTGCAGACACTGTGCCAGCAGAGACAGTACCCATCCCGGGGGGATATGTCCCAGTTTCTGGACATGGGGTAGGCAGGATGGTCCCAGTCCTCTTGGCCTACTGTCCACGGAGCTCTCCTCTGGCCTTGCTGAGCAGGCTAACCCTGAGCTCAGGTCCCCAGCCGTGTGCCGCTCAGAAGGGCTGGGCCAGAGCCGAGTGCCCCAAGGGGCTGGCGGCAGGTCCACGTGGAGTTACAGACTGGATGTGCAAGTTCACAGGCAGCTCCTGGGGGTGCAGAGGGGTAACAGGGGAAAGCTCCTGCTGCTCCCCAATGGCGGCTGGGGGGGGTGTTCAATGCACAGCACCTCCTGGAGCCTCTCCCAGCAAAGGGCCAGTAAAACCCCATGGCAGCATTTGCAAGAGAACCAGCGCACTGCTCAGACAAACACCATGCCCAGCCAGGGACCCCAGGCCCGTGTCCTGCCAGGGGTGGGAGCTGCGCTGCCCAGCC